CTGAACAACACTGAGAAAAACTTGTTTTTGTGCATTGCTCTTTGTCGTCGTGTGTGTACCTGTGTGTAGCTATGTGTATTTATGTGTGTCACTGTGTGTTGCTGTCAGTGTGTGTCGCAGTGTGCTACAGTGTGTTGTTACGCTGCTGTGCATCACTGTGTGCACCTGTTGTATAGGTCTGTGTTGTTGTGTGTCTGTGCACTGCTCTTTGTCCGCGTGCGTTGCTCTGTGTTTGTGCGTTGCTGTGTGTACCAGTTTGTTTGTGTGCTGCTGTTTGTCTGTGTGTGTAGCTGTGTGTTTTATGTTCGTCGCGTGTGTTGGCAGGTGTTGCAGTGCGTCCCTGTGTGTAGCTTAGTGTTGCAGTGTGTAGCTTTGTGCTGCAGTGCGTCCCTGTGTGTAGCTTTGTGTTGCAGTGTATACCTGTGTGTAGCTGTGTGTAGCTTTGCATTGCTGTGTGTAGCTGTGTGTTGCAGGGTGTACCTGTGTGTACCTGTGTGTAGCTGTGTGTCAGCGTGTATCGCAGTGCGTTGCTGTGTGTCTCTGTGTTCCTGTGTGTCGGTGTGTTATTTATGTGTGTTGCTGTGTTACTGTGTATGTTGCTGTGTGTTGCTGTGTTTTGTATCTGTGTTGCTGTTTGTGTATGTAGCTGTGTGTTATATGCTTGTCGTGTGTGTTGCTGTGTGTCTGTGTGCATTGCTGTGTGTCACTGTGTGTCCCTGTGAACATCTGTGTGTAGCTGTGTGTAGCTGTGTATATCTGTGTGAAGCGTTGCGTTGCTGTGTGTAGCTGTGAGCAGCTCTGTGTTGAAGCTGTTCTGTATTTTTATGCAGTTTCTCTCTGGTACACAGTTTATATATTTTCTGAAATCAGAGACACAACTTTTAAAAAAACACTGTTACACACAGTATTTCATACAATTTATGTGACAATGATATAAAAAAATAGAACAAGGCAACAGTGTTTTGGCCAAATCAGCAGCTGAGCAACACAAACATGCAGAACAGTCACACTGTCATCAAACATTAAAATATTATTAAACAGGCTAAAAAACAGAAAGCAAATGTACTTATAAAATGTAATTTCAACCAATTCCAGCACTACCTCTCTCTGTATTCACTCACCAGACACCAGTGTCATGTGGTATCACACATAACTATCAATTTTGAATTTTTTTACGATGTTTGTCCATAAATATTTTTAGTGTATTTTTAATTAGCATAAAAGATTCTTCTACAGATATTTTTCCAGGATACCGAGGTTGAAAAACTGGGAAATAACTTTAAGTGTTATTTTACAGATTTTACTGTTTTATTACCGGTAATATCTAGAAAAATCACAGAAAAAAAAATTGTGAACTTTCATTAACCATAAAAAATAAACAGGCCAATACTATAAATAATGTCCAGATAAAACAAATTGTATTTTTACAAATAGCAATTAGTTTTCATAGAATCGAATTCTAAATGAACACTAATTTACTGAATTTAAATCAACCAAAGATATCATTTTATTAAAGCTATGTTTTTTACAAAGAGTAAATCACTTTTTACTATGTTTTACCAAAAAAATATTGTATTTAAATTCACAAAAATAATTATTATTTTATAGATATTTTTAGGTTATTTGGAAGAAAAATGTATATTATGGGTTGAAAAAATGGTTGAAGATTTTTTTAAACTGTATTTTTACAGATTTTGACAGTTGTGTTAAATCACTGACAACATCTGGTAAAATCGCAAGAAAAAGTAAAATTTACAGAGTAACCATAAAAAACAGGCAAAAACTGTAAATAATGTCCTAATCAAAAAATGGGCCTTTTCAAAGACAGCAAAAGGAAAAGAAACTGTGACGCTGAATGAAAACCAGCGTCATGTCGTCTTTCTGCCATGTGAAACCGAAACACACAAGTACGTGAGAGCTACGGCTGCACGCTTCATGACTAAAACACAAATTATTTCGGGTGACAAACATGAGTGGAGCTGCACAGTGAAACCTGACTGTCTGCAGCGCAGAGTGGCTTCAGTGCTGCTAGTAACACTGAGGCTTCCTCTCTGATCAGATAAAGTCAGACTTACTTCCTTTTAGAAACACTTCAAACATTAATCAAAATTCCCTACAAACCGCGTTACATTATGTGGCCACCACACCCATAAAAGCACTAAACTGAATCAAGAGTTCAGAGAGCTGAACCTGCCAGCATGTTTGAAAGGCAATTTATCTTTAAAAGACCATGTAAATAAAAATTAACCAAAATGAGAATGTTTATCAGCCAAAAATTGTAAAAACTGAGATTTTCTACTTTCCAACCTACTCATCTGTGACACGCTGTTCCAGTGGAAACCAAATCAAATCAAATAATATCAAATAATCAAATAATACTAGTCAACTTTCATTCTGAATTTTTTTTCTAATTTCTGTCATTCTAGCTGTGTCACATTGTACACAAGACATTCCTGAGTTTCTCTCCTTCTACTTGTGGTTGTGCTGTTTCTAGAGAGGTGCAGAACTTGATATTCTGGTGACAAATTAGGCCACAGTGAGGAAAAATGTGTTAAGACCAAAAAACACCAGAAACTGCTTCACGTTCAGATGGTCAAACTTCTTGACAGACAACCAGGACTTACTGTGCTTTGTAAACTGGTAAATAAAATCTTCTGGACAAATAAAATCACAGCTGGACAATATTAACTAAACCCTTATTTTATACGTTTACATCAATTAGGGCTTCAACTAGCTAATATTTTCTACTCAGCAGTTAGGGTTAGGTTTTCTGTTCGTAAAACAAAAGAGTGAAAAAAAAAACAGTCCATGTAGGCATAGTAAACATGTTGTTTTTGCCTGATCAACTGCCCAGAACCTAAAGAAATTCAGTTTATCATAACAGAGTACTGAGAAAATCTGCAAAAATGTACAGGTTCTTGCAAAGATCCACAAATCACAGCATTACAGCATGGCTCATGACGGTCTAACACATCCAGAGATGGTGTAAACGCTGCAGAATGATCTCATACTGTACTGTGTTATCACTCAACCCTGGAGCCAAAGATAAAAATAAATGACACTGAACTCAGTAACAATAATCCATATGAGTGAGGAGCCTTGTGTGTGCTGTCCGAGCAGTGACAGCGCTCTTGCCTGGAGCCACATCTGTGTTTGGGAAGCAGACAGCAGCTTATCACGGCGAAGTGAGCCGAGGCAAACACGCTGTGAATGGTCCAACACTGCCGGACTTAATAAAGCACCTGAGCAACACAAGATGACAGCATCGCACCTGAGACCGTCTGTGCTGCAACATCCTTAAAATAACTCTCACTCCACTGCTGCAGGATAAATAACAACATCAACTGAACAGGAGGGACTGAAATGGTGTCTGGATTCAGTTCACTTTAATTCACCTGATTTAACCCAGCCTGGACACCAGCGTAATACGTTTCATGTTGGCTGAAACACAACGTAAGGCACAGCAAGATCTTCTTTACGTCAGCCATTTTTACAGACACACGTTCAAAATGATGCCTTCAAAAAGCCAAAACTAACAAATTCTTGATGATACATGATAAAAAAAATAAACAAGCAGCAACTCTTGAAACTAGATCTGCAACGATTAGTATTCAAATTCTAAATGAAGAGCAAAATATAGTGATAATCAGTGAATCAGTTTAAGTATTTTTAAAAAAAAAAATCTAAATTCTGTCATTGCAGAATACAAGAATATTTGCTGGGGGTTTTTTTGTCTTCCTCTGTGCAAACTGAATATCTGTGGACAAATTTGTCATATAGGGTTTTAGGGAAAACTTGATCCACATCTTTCACCATTTTCTGACATTTTAGAGACAAAACAACTAATTAATTCACCCAGGAAATAATTGACAATGAAAACGAACGTGAGTTGCAGCCCTACCTGCAAATGAATCTCTATATTTATGAAGAAAATCACTAATGAATGACCAGAATCAGCAGCAAAACTGTCTAACTTGGAGCCCCACATTTTCACATTGCAAACTAATCCAGAAAACATAACACCAAAGACCAACTTAGCTGTTTTACACCTGGACACGCAGCCTTTGCATCTGAGTGATGACAAACATGACTTAAACACACTATGTTGGGCTCAGTTTATTTTCTCGCAGAAAGCAGCCAGAAGCCAAGGCACCCTGGTGCAGCGGACAGTAGCCCACCCAACATCGCTGTGTGTCGGTGTAAATTCACTCAGAAAACAGCCGATTACTTCACATTTACTCCGCTAACGGGCTGCTAATGTAAGATAACAGGCTCCGATTAAGATAGCTGAGCAGAACTCCTCCATTATCACGTCGTAGCGAGCATGCCTCCACCGCCACGCCAGATTCAATTACAAAAATGACAAATTATAGTCAGGACTCCAGAAAAGGACCTACACCTGATAAATGAGTCTGGAATATAAGCGTATCGGAGCGGTTATTCAAAACGGCGAAGGTGCTATTAAAAAATAGGAATCACATCTTTCGGTATTAGTTTATTAGAAGAGGAGGGGTAGTTTTTAAAGTTAGCTCAAACAGTTATAAACTTAATGCCGAATTTATCAGACAGACAACACAATTCGCACAATGTATTAGTTTGTGTTCTGTTTGTTAAATATTTGTTTTGGTAAGTAACGCCGCGTTAAAGTGCCAGATTTTTGAACGGAGTTCGGCGGGACGTCCTCTCCGCACTAGCAGGGTGACAGCGACGTAACATAGTAAACAAGCCAAGTTAGCCCTGCGAGCTAACGATGCTAACTACGCTAACGACGTATCGGAAATGGACAACAAGAGGCGACAACATGTCCCGCTCACGCTCAACATCCGAAAAATGACTGCATACTGTATCGTGTTCACGTCTAATTCACTAGAATAGCGCCAAATCCAAGCGGAGCGCCGGGCAGCGCCACCAGATAACGTTATCTCGGAGCCTGACAAGCCCAGGCGAGGCCTCCGCTCCTCCGGGCAGCTCTCCTCCTCCTGCCTCCGTCTCAGACTCACCCGAGTCGAGGTGATGTCCATCATGACCTCCTGAAAGGCGGCTGTCTCCTCGGCCTGCCGCTGGGTGTGCAGCGCTATCTTCTCGCTGAATTTTCGGGGGTTTGAAGCCCCGGAGCCGGCGCCCGAGGTGGGTCCGGGTCCGGGTCCGCAGCCGCCTGAACCCGTCGCAGACATCTTCACCGAGCGGACGGGACGACTTGACGTAGTGGAACGATTTTCAGCAGAGAGCGGCGGAAAGTGAGGAGCGCTCACTCCGCACCGACTTCTGAGCATCACCAACACCAGCCAATCTATACCAAAAAGATTGCATCACAAACGTTTTGTCTCATTTTGGCGTTTAAGTGTTTTTGATGTGTTTTGTTCAAGTTATGCTTTCAGTGGCTTTGTGTTGTGTTTTGATGTCATTTTGGCGAGGTTTTAGTTGTTTTGTATAGATTTTGGAGGTTTTGTAATGCTTTGGGCCACGGTTGTGTTCTTTTTAGTGTTCTTTTCAGTGTTCATGTGTGTTTTTTCGTTGATGTTATGTCTAGACTCTAGACAGACAACCAAGCACACTCACATTCACACCTACGGAC